ATCTAGATTTTGGTTTTAAATTTTAGTATTATTTATCATGATTCTTAAATATTGAGATTAATATATATATTTATCTTAGTTGTGTAATGAAAAGCAACTATTTTTTATCATTTATTTCACTCCACTTGCATGTTATACGATTTGAACTCAAGATCTTTTATTTTTAGTACGATTTGAACTCAAGATCTTTTATTTCTAGTGGAAAGAGATGACCATTGAAGTATTTAGATCGTTAGTTGAGATTAATATTTAAAAAAATTAATTTTGTTAATAAATGTCTCAAACTAATCTAAAATATATATGTACCTTTAAAATCGATCATTAAAAAAAATTTAATTTTAAAATATATAAAAACAAATCTGAAAACATTTTTATGGTGACTATGCTTTTATCTGTACTCCTATGTGATTAGGAGTTAAGTCTTCACGACTATTTTGATCTAGTATTTAATATATATATATATATATATTTCTTTTTTGAACTTGACTTTTGAATAGGATGAAGGTGATATTGTTTATCACCCACTCAATTAAATTTTGATGAACTCTTAACTCTATTAACCTTTCTTGTTCCTTAAAAATTATAGTTGTTTAAAAAAATATTTATTATATTCTCTACCTTACCAAAAAAAATACATATAGCTAGGTACCACTCTCTTGGTTCCTTATCAAAATTAATTATTGGAGTAGTGATAGTTATGTTCACAACTTGCACCAAAAAATAAAAAAAAATAAAAAAAATAAAGATAGTTATGTTCACAACCTTTTTTCTTTTTTGACAGGTATGTTCACAACCTATTTAATTGGACAACAATAGATGACTTCGGCCTCACACTGGCCCACCACTTCTAATTTGTTTCTTTTTCAGTAAAAATGTTATATGACTTTCTTTTTTTTATTTGTGAATATATGACTTTGTTTTGGTACAATAGTATAATACAATTTTTACAAGACGTTTACGGTTAATTTTTTTTATTTAAGGATAATATAGAATCATATTAATTCACTTGTCTGATATCAAATATTATAGCAAAAATTGTTATTCTTAAAAATATTGTACTAAGCATCTTTCTCAATAAACTCTGCTAAAAAACAATAAGTTAAATTAGCTTTATTCCCACATTAAAAAAAAAAAAAAAGGACACAGCATGATTCTTATTTTTGATTCATGTCAAGAATGTGTTATAAACAATAGTGGATCACCTTTCTGTTTTTAATTTTATTTTATTTGTCTCCAGATTCTAACTTCACAATTCCAACTCAAAATTTTAAAATTTTACTAATTGAGAGAACCTCTTATTGGAGGCTAGAAAGCATGAATCACAAAATTAATTAAATCAAAAATGGATGCCAGCAAATTTATATCCAAATTTTTTTTTGTCATTAAGCTACAAATTCAAACATGCATGGGACCTGCTTGTCTTGTAACATATGCACATAGTTTTTTCGCTAAGGAAATATAGAATATATGAATGTCCATTATAAGATTTCCTATTTGTTTATTTTGAAAATGATTTGATTATTTTTATGTGCTTCTCAAATAAAGAAAAAAGAACGACGGCTTGACTTATCATTTGAAACAAACTCTTCCATTATCATGATACTCCATGAGATGTTCTTATCGTTAAGAGGGTTTCATGGTCTTAATTTTGAACTTCTAAGAGGAAAACTATTTCATACCATATTCCATTGCATATAAATCAAATATACCAAAATACAAATATATATATATATATATAATCATCAAGTTGATATGATTGCACCTTTCAACAAGTTAATGGAAAACCAATATTTGACACAAAATTTAGAAAGATGAGACTTTCAAGGTCCCATTGTGGAAAAAAAACATGTGGACTTGCTTCTTCTATTGAGTTTGATAATGGGTATCAAATTAACATAAAAGTTTCTTTCAAATTCAGCAAAAGCGGTCCTACAAAGGCTTTCTTCTTGATTGCAGAAAGACTTGTTCAGAGAGGTGCACATCCACAAGTCTCCAATAATTTTTTTGGTTAGGTATACAAGCCATTGAAAGCCAAAAAATCTATCGTTGCTCTGCAGACAAGTATTGATATAAGTACCATCATCTTGACGACTTCATGCTTCCTCTCCTCTTCCTTTAGTAGATTTTGATTCCTTTCCTTTTCTTAATTAATTTATTTCTCTTGAAAAACTAACCATGGTTAGGTTATGTTTTCTTCTCATCAAGTTCTTAATGGTTAAAAGTTAAAGCTATATATCTTTGAAGAGAAATTATATTATATTACAAAAATTCTTTAGATATGATGTTTTTTACCAAATCTGTACATCTTTTGTTGAAGTGTGAACCTTTTGAAAATATATCATTGTTGTAGATTAATACTTATTGATTTGACCAACAACAATAACCAAGTGCATAGTACTCACCATCTACTATTACTTATTTAATACAGTACTGATTTTTAAAACTAAGTATTAGTTAAATCATTATAATAAATTGCAAGTTTTCTTAAAATTTTCTAATATGCAAGTCTTAGAGAGAGAAAAGTTAGCCAAAAAGCAAGTTTTACTACTAACAAAATTTTAAATTTTGGAGAAAGAAAAGTTGTTTGTAAGTTCTGCCAAACATGTCCTAAACAAACTTCGTGAAAAAGAATAAAGTTGCCAAATCATGGTATTAGATTGTTGGACTTCTTCAAAGATACATGCAAATCCTTATATAATGGGCTTCTAGTCCAGTCCACATAAAAAGGACTTAATAACCAGGCAAGGTTAGCTTGAAAAGAAATGGGCCTAATGAGATTCTGTACTCTAAGATGGTCTGGAAAAGACCCAGCTCTACTACAATCTAGGCTTAAAGTCCAAGACCCACTTGATCAGGGAAGATAATGCTCACCATTGCCCTCGTAAACAGTGCATTAATTTTTTTTTTACAATATTATAATTATAATATTATTTAAAATTATAAATTTATAATTATAATGTGATACTAAATAAGAATAATATGACATTAAATAAATATATATATAATATTACAAGTGAACTGTTAAAAAAAAAAACCAATTACATAAAAACAAATTATGTTATAAATTTATAATATTATATAACATTATAATTATAATATTTTTATATTTTTTGTAACATTGTTATTTAGTTTAGTTTCGATTTATAGATTTATTAAAATATTTTAATGAATTTTTTCTTTACATCATTAATAACATTTTATTAATTTTGATACTTGGATTACTGTTTAAAGTGCAATCCAACATTAAAAAAAAAAAAAACATAAATTGTTTTTCTTTACAAAAAAAAAAATATATCTATATATATGTTTTCAAGTTATAATGAAATACTTTCGATTGGTCACGTGACACAAATTTTTTTCATAGTTAACCCATTTTAGGTTGTGGGTTTCGGTCTTCCCTTATGCTGGCTCTGTTTAGCCATTTTTTTTGGTTTTCTTTAGTTAGTTTGTTTAAATTTTCTTATAGTTTCCTTGTCAATTTTTTAATTAGTAGTGGTGTTTATATTTGTAAAAGAGTAATTTATTTATTCATGAATTTTATATATTATATTTATATGAAACTTTAATTTTTTATTTTTTATTTATAATTATTAAAATTTATCATGATTTTTAAGTAAAAATGATAATTTTTTTAATAAATATAAATAAATTTTAATCATTAAAAATAAAAATAAATGTATATTATGTTAATTAAATGTAATTTTTTAAACAATAACAAAACACATCATAATTCTAAAATTAAATATAACTTTTATTTTTTCATATATATTCTTCATATAAGAAATTAGAATTTAAAATTGTACCTCATGTTACGTCCATTCAAAAAAAAAAAGGGTGTGCGTGATTATTCTCATTTTCAAAGATGCCTAACCTCTTTATGACAAGTGACAACCCACATCTCCAACATTTCAAACATAGGAACAACATCAAAGATCCAATTATTCCATTTGGGAAAAATTCCTTTTTTTATTTGCAAGTGGGAATGATATAGATAAAGGAGGCATGAATCTAGATGAATTTTTTTAATTTTTATTCATGTATTAAACATGTTCTTTTTTTAAAGTTATTTTAATACCAAGTTGTGTTCTCAATTTTAACATCAATTTGTGCCGTGCCCCTCTCCAACTTTTTGTTTTCCAACATCTTCCTTGCAACTTGATCACTTTGTCACATTTTCTTTCCCTTAATTTCCTCGAACCCCAACTCGTCCCCATCATTATCATGGCTTTCTCTAATCAGGAGATTAAGAATCCTCTTGATTAGGCGGACGAATTGAGAGAAAATATGAACACAAAGCAGCTGGAGATTCATATAATTTGCTAGTTGTTTATAGAGAAATACTAGATAAATATTGAAATTAAGTTAGTTGTTGTTACATTTTTCTAAATTTTTATAAAACCTTAAAAATAATAAGCTGATAGTACAAATAGTATGAGTCATATCGTGTTTTTAAAAAGCAAATTGATTGTCATAACGTAATTTATTTTAGATAGTTAAGGACAAACATACACCTTTTTTGAAAACAACATTAATATTATACACTTCATGTAATGTAATAAAAAACTATATAAAATGGCAAAATCTTATAGGATTTTTCTAACATATATCTTAAGAGTGTAATTAATACATATTTTTATTATTAATTTGTATTGAAAATGACAAAAACTAATATTAATTTTATTATTGATACCATATAGACCATTTTTATTAGCTAATTGATTAAATAAATGTCAATTTTTATTTTTTCAATACCAATTAATATAAGAAAAGTGTTCTTTTGTGCCCCTAAGGGCACTAATTAAAAAAATCTAATCTCATATACATCCAACTATAGGGGTTCTTCTAAAACAAATTGATTAGTTATAATCTGGCTTATTTTAAATAATTTGGTTGGTCATTACATATACTTTCTCCTTAAGACACCATCATTTTTATATATATAAAGATTAGAGATTAAGTTATAAACTTATGATTAAGAGTATATGTAACTCTACCACTAAACTAAATGACTGATGGTTCTTGAGACAATATTAATATCATAAACCCCATTTAATATATCCAAAAACCATAATGCCTAAATTTTATTTTAATATATCTAATAATAGTAAATTATATAATAAATAATAACTCTTTCATTTCTTAAACCCCTTGCACTTGTCGCAATATTCAAGCATGGAATATTGAACAGTCAATTCATCCCTACATCTTTTTTCTTTTCAATTTTTTCCCTATGATTTTATGCAACATTAATAAGTCTATTTTCATTTTCTATAAGGTTACCAATCTATCGCTCTTAGGAGCTAAATATCTAATTATTCATTTAGGCCATCAATACATATTCAAACAAATTAAGCTCATATTCTTCCAAAAGAGAAAAAGACAATTAAATACATCCATAATCCACCAACCTTCCCTAAAAGTTGACCCACAAATGAAACAAAGAGGTACCCACAAACCCTAGTCTAAACAAAGACCAAACCGGATATTTTTTGAAGCAAGTGTGTTGAGATTTGATATGGAAAGAAGGAATGTGAGTAAGAGACAGAGAGGACGCAAGTTGCACAAGCTGTGTGGCATTGGGTGGTGGAAGAAAAAATGTGGGACAAGAAAAGTAGACCACTCTTGTCTCATGGCAAGTTGCATAGGCAAGATGGGGCCGTTCACCATCTAACCAAAAAGCATACAAATTAGGCTTTTTGGGGTCAATCTCTGTCCAATGCGTGGTGCTTGCTTGGGTTTACTGTATGCACTGGGATCTCCCCCACGTGGGTTCCTACAGCACGTGAAGATGGACCCTCCTCCTAAACAATGGACATCATTTTTCCAAGGAGATATGAAAATCGTGTCAGTCTCCTGTATAATTTAAATTACACAAAAATAATTAAATAAAAAAAAATTTTAATATTATGAAGTTTTTTTTATTTAGTAGTTATTATTATAATTTAATATAATATAAATTATAAAATAATTTTTCGAAATCATACTCTCTTTATATAAAAATATTAGTACACTTAATACCAACTTCACAATTGATTCATGAGACCAGTAATGTAGCATGACTTATATTGATGTTTCATCAATGTTGTGACTATGAATTCCAAAACCTTTTGATTTTTTTTTATTATTATTTTTTTATCTTTCAATAAATTTTTTTGAATAATACTAACATAGTGATTATTAAAAAAAGTATGGCATCTATTTTACCAATAATAATAATAAAAAAAAAAGTAGTGCGAATATCTACAAAAGATGACAGGATCTATCATCACAGATGGCAGCATGCCATTGTAGAAAGGAAAACATATTCTTCTTTTGAAATTTATGAGATTTTATGTCTAAACTAGATTTTGTGTACACAATGTACATTGAAAATACATGGGGTTCCAACAATCCCTCATGTATGTGGCCACTGATGACCACGCGACCCGTTGAGTAATAGGTGAAATATACTGATCATAAATTTGCCTCTCCCAAAAATACAAATATTAATTAATCTAACCTAAAATTTTTTCCCGTCAAAAAAATAAAAAAAATACATAGAGTTCCAAAGTTACCAAGCAACAATCTTAGGCTAAAGATTAGCCCATTGATTTGCATTAGAAAGCAAGTATGCATAAAAGAGGCATGCATAAATGATACCACAAGTGAAAATTCATTGAAATTGTCACCAATCTAGAGTACTAACCATCGAAGGATAAAATTTAAACCCTAACAATCCATTGTCTAAGCTAGAAAAATTCTTCTGTGATTGTTTCTTTGGCTTCTCATGCTGGTGGAGTTGGTGCTTCAGCATGCTTAATTATGATCAGAAGGCTTTAGCTAGCTACGTGATTCTGCGCTCCCCTAGGTATCACCTCGTTCATCCCTAGTTGCTAAGTCAATACGTTGAGTGCGCCAACCGTTGAATGTGGTTTAATCAAGTATCATGAAGCAGAAATGCCATTGTCAGTGGGGGAAACCTTTCGGTTCCTGCCATGACTCCGTTTACTACTCGCGCTAACGCCTGCTCTTCCTTGAATTCCTACTCTTGTTCCTTTCCCCTTCTTGAATTCTTGCTTGTGTTCCACCTGACTTCATATAAATCAGAAAACCATCACATCTACTATTTGGAATCACAGATACAGAAAGGTTTAACCATTGCCAAAAATATGAATTGCAGAGGTATTTGTTGAATTTAGAGAGCATCATTATACGTGATCAACATTCCACGGACATGTCAAGATATCCCAAGTTTGAAACGCAAAATTAAAACTAGATGTGAATACTCACCATCTTCCTCCATTACGTGGCCTAACTATTTGCCTCAATGGTAATGTTATTTTATGAAACAAACCTTGACACAAAAAATTCCACAGCGAATGACAAATATTAACTAGAAGACATTGAAAACATTGCTTCTTTATGCCTAGCTAAGATTTTATATGCCACAGCACCACTAGATGTATGCCAGGACTAGCTAAAACTTAATTCACATCACGATGATGAATGAATACTCACTTTAAGACATTATGGATTCAGAGTAGTGTAAAAATATATATGCAAGGACAGGCACTTACTCCTAAACAGAAATTGTGAAAATGTGCATTGAAACCGGAACTCTGCATATTAGCCTCCCCCAAGTTCATTTCAGAGGAATTCTGCCTGTTGGAGCTAGAACTTTCACCATAAGATGAAAAGGAAGAGGTAGCAGAACAAGATGTACTAGATTGACAACTAGATCCAAATGCTTCAATGTCATCTTGAAACATATCTGCAAACAGTTTCTGTAGCTCCTCAAAGGTTTCCTCTCGTCCATTCTCCTATAAATTCCAAAATGATCATTGTTACAACCAACATTACACATTACGGTTGGCAGCTTCACAAAAATTATGGACAATGCTTTCATCTCTTCCATTCTTCTATCTCTCAAAGGCTGTCACTAACAATATGCATGGTAAATTAAAGCCTTTGACAAATGCCCCCAATGGAGTGTCTCAACTAGGAAGAACTTGATACATTAAGTCAAAGATCTCAGGTTTGAACTTGAGACAAGCTCCTCAAGACAAGTATTTGTTTTAGATGATGGATTTGGGGAAAAGGACTGCTATTTTCTCTTATACAGCTCATCATCTAAAACAAATTGCTAACATGCTATAACATCCACCAAAGGTACCAAAATGCATCTCATCTAATTAAGTAAGGTGATTTATTATTAACATAAATCACATAATTCAAAATAATACCAATTGCATGTTTGATCAAGTCATTTGAACCTTACAAAATGATAATGATTTTGAACAAAAAAACTTAGGACTAATTTTTATGACCAAAATTTAGGACAAATTTATGGTAACTATTAACAATGGTTAGGACCGCATAAAGACCCAAATAATCAACTATTGAAATAATTTCGTCCCAAAATTTCTTCCTAAAATTTGGTCCCAAAGAATCATTACTCCAATTATAATGACTCTAATATTCATGTGGGTCCCACATACACTGACACCAAGCCCACGATTCAACAAGTACCTTTTGCAGTATACCACATATCTAAACCATGGGCCCGCAGTCTTCCTTTTAAGTGTTGGCACCATAGAACAGGGCAACTCATTGGCTAATCCCAATAATGGACCCATCAATAACGGATTCCATTGGATTTTGGGCCTATATTAAATCATTTTATTTTGGACTCCTAACCCATTAGCAATCTTCCTGTCAATTAAATGCAGAGCAAGATCATCCACACCCATGAATCCAACTACCAAGAAGCTAATACCTAGGATTTCCCACAAGCAAAAATACCATCATTCTAGTCCAAAGATTTCTCCTCTAAATGTTGCACAATTAACAGCCAAATGATATCTAATAAACAAGAGCCTAGCCAGGTTTTCAGTCGAGATCAGATAACTTCAACAACCTTAATTTTGGAATTAAAGTTAGCGGTTCAAGCTTCTGTAATAACTAAGCACTAACTTTTTTGCCAATAAAAAAATAAATGAAGAGTTTTGAGACTTACATTTGGCTTTGTTTGGTTCATCATGATTGCCATTTCATTCAAGAAATCACCCATCCCCTACACAATTGATGAAAATAAAAAATCAATACATTTAGATTCCTATAACACCAATTGAAAGAAAAATTCATAAAGTTTCCAAAAAAATATGTTAGCTTTACACCAATTGGCATGCATTAAAGCAGAAACTAACAGGGTTGTTAATTCTAACCACCAGTTTGGATGGTGGGAAAATTTAAAAGGAAAAATAAAAAAAGAAAAGGGAAAAGAAACATACATTTTCGTCATCATCACTGTCATACGCTCCAACATCGTACAGAAACCTCTTATTTGCATCAGACAGAACTGATGCCATAGAAAAAAGCAAGTTGAAAAGAAAAATAAAAAAAAAGTTACCATTTTGTGAATCCAACAATTATGCCAAAAAAAAAAAAAGAGAGTTATTAGAATATTACAAATTGCAAAAATATTATTAAATATTAGGATTGAATTCAAAGAAAGCAAGAAAAAGAAAATTACCAGAATAGGCTTGCTGAATCGCCTGGAATTTCTTCTTGGCTTCTTCCACAAACTTTGAATTCTCTGATGCTGAACACCGATCTGGGTGCCACCTCTGTCCAAACAAACACAACACATTCACATAAATTTCATTTTTCCCGGACAATTCAAAATTTTCCTATTCAACAATCAGTCTCTTCATTGTTTCTGGGTTTTTGAGGTATACCCATTAATAAACTTTCCCTCTTTTTCAGAAGCAAGGAATGAAACCCAAAATCAAAAGCTTTGACATTTTCAGCGTCTGATGTAAGAAACAGGTCAAGATTGATGATTTCTTTTCGATTTCAGAAGACCCCAGTTGATTAAATTAGTATGGAAATGCAAGAGAAGAGAACAAAAGCAGGGTAGAAAACTCTAACCATTGCAAGTTTCTTATACGCATGCCGGAGTTCTGATGCAGAGCACTCCTTGTTCAACCCCAAAACAGCATAAAAATCATTACTTTTCTCTCCTCCATTTGCCATTCTTCTGACACCAGAAACCCAAAACCCAAAACCCAAAACCAAACTAAAACCCAAGACAGCTTATGTTTTTTCCTTTTCGACAAATTTATTGCATAAACATCATCACCCAAAACCAAAACTGAAACAAAACTACTAGAATCTATAAAGTTATGATAACATATGACTTAGACTAGATGTTTGTGAACTGTAACACGGAACCTTAGCATTGGATTTAGATTTCCTTGGGGAGAAAGACGATCAAAAGAGAAACGGAAGAAAGGAAAAGATAAAAAATATCTCTCCCGTTCCTTCCCCAAAATGCTAAGGCTCAAGAACTCTCCAGAACCCGGCCATTATATATGGTTGGTATTTGAAAAATAAAAAATAATCATGGAAAGAAATATATAAATAAAATTTGTTAAAAGTATTTGATTAATTTTACCGATAAATAGATAAATTTTTATTTATTTTGCTCTTATTTAGTAAACAGTCTCGTAAATTAATGTTTGCATCGAATTATAAAATGTAATTATTAAATTAAAAAATAATTTTAATATAAAAAGACTTACTACCTTTTAATAATTATAATTATAAAAAAATACAATTTTTAGAGTATCATTTTCCTTAGTTAAACTAATAATTTTGCTCAATATTATGAAATAAATGGATAAATGGGTTTTATTGAGTTGTGTGAGGGATGAGGGATAAGGTTGGGGTCGCAATGATAGACGGTGGAGATTGCATGGGAGGGGAAGATATTTTGGGGGATGTGTATCCAGAAGGTTCTTGGAGGGCACTGGGGAGGTCCTTTTTGACGGCAAAGACTAGATCAAACACAGAAGTACGGGCCCCACAAGTCCGCACCGTACTGTTGTTGCTGTTTAACGGTTGAAAAATATTTATCAACTATATAAGTAATTTACTTAGATAGTTTTTTTTTTTGTTAAAGATAAAACATTTTAAATTTACGTTCACATGATATATTAATAAAATCAAATAAATAATAAACAATAATTATCTTTTATTACATAACTAAAATAAAAAAAAATCAGTGGAAAATTAATTTATAACTCAGTGAAAAATTTGGGGGAAGAATGAATTAGAGGGGTCTATCTTTTAGAATATAAATACATAAAAAGTATTTTGTACATCATATTTTTAAATTTTTTCAGATGTCAGATAATTTTTTAATTAGTATTTTTAAAAAAATTATAATATTAAAAATTTTATTTATATAAATTTTACATATTGATTTTTATATTAATGTATTAAGCTTAATTAATTTGTTAATTTAACATCGTTACGTACACGAGAATGTCCCGTCCAGTGGTGATCTCTCTGTTACACGTCCGGTTAATAGAATGTGTTTGGTTAAAAAAATTTAAGATATCATTTACTGATTTTTTATATTTTATTATTATTTTAAAAAATTATATATAATTTTATTAATTAATTATTACATGTCAATTTATTAAAAAAACTATATCTACAAACAGAGGTAACAAATCAATGTGAGTAGATGCTGTAGATCAATTTATTTTTTATTAATTTTTAATATATAAAAATTATATTAAATTTTAATTAAATTAAATTTAAATCATATTAAACTTATAAGAAAAACTCTTTCAATATTTATTTTTTAATTTTTTTAGTTCATAAAATTTAAATTTAAAATTTTATTTAAAAAAAATAAAATTCATTTTAGTTCGACCAATAAATTCTTAGTAGATCAATTTATTTCTTTAATTGAAATTAATGTGCACATTATTTTTATAAAAAAATTATATGCCAATTACCATTTAAGATTTCCATTATAAATTGAGGTATTTATAGGCTTGCTTACTTTGTCATTTCAAGTTTTCAAGGTATGTGGGACCGCGCATATTTACATAGAGCCTATTATTTATTTTTTATTTTAGGTTGTAGTAGGAGAGAAGGCTTTTTAAATTCTTTTACCCTGCTTGCGTAATCATCTACATCTTGAAGCAAAGACACTAATTATAACCTAGAATATTCTAGAGACTTGAGATATAGAGTGTCACATCAACTCTTCAATGTTCGTTCCCAATTATTTTTAACCATGC